GCCACCCGCTACCAAAAGCCTTCCCCTCCACCACCGCCAACGTACACCACTCCTAGCCCTCCACCGCCAATCCTGCCACCGCTACCAAAAGCCTTCCCCTCCGCCACCACCAACGTACACCACTCCTAGCCCTCCACCACCACTACCGAAGCCTTCACCTCCGCCGCCACCAACGTATACTACTCCAAGCCCTTCACCACCACCACCACCAACGTACACAGCTCCAAGCCCTCCACCACCAGCATACGTAACGCCGTCGCCACCAACCCGGACTCCATACCCTCCATCACCGACGACTCCGACATGCCCCATCGACACCGCTAAGCTCGACTCGTGCGTGGACCTACTCGGGGGGCTGGTGCACATCATCATCGGCGAGGGCGTGAGTTACCAGTGCTGCCCGGTGCTGGAGGGGCTCTCCGACCTCGACGCCGCCCTGTGTCTGTGCGCCACCATCAAGGCCCAGGCCTTGAACATACAGATCCTTCTTTCCCCTGCACTCGAGGTTCTTGCGGACTGCGGCAAGGAAGTGCCATCCGACTTCGAGTGTCCTGATGAGTGATCAAAGACTGTGTCATCGTGTCTTCACCCAATTAGTCTTCATGTTTGTGCCTGCATGGTTTTCGGGTGCTGTATTTGACGGTCGTACGTTCCCCTCTGTCATTGAAAGCAATATAATGGTCCCGTTGGCCTACTCCAATAAAAGTCAAGTCTTCTTATTTGTCTTCAACGAACGTTACGTGCAGTGATACATAATAATTTTTATTGAAAATAAAAAATAAGAAAACAGATGATAGAAAGATAATAATTTAAATATTACAGTAAAAATAATCACACCTTAAAAAAAAGAGAGAGAAATAACTCAATTTATTTATAATATTCTTATTTAATTTTTTTTTTAACTCAAGTACAATAATAAAAATAAAAAAGATAATTGTTATCTTAATATTCTTGATTTGATTTGGAGATAATCTTTATTATTGGTGATATTATTGATTGATGGCACGCTCGAGGTGGCCATGTGTAATGGGGGCCCATATGATGATTGGGATTGGGCCTGCCATGGCAGTGTTAAGGCCCATTATGATGCTGTAGGACTTCACATCAGACGTGACTTCTTCTTCATGGAATTTAGGGTTCATGAGAAGTCCGACTGCCAGTAGACAAACAGAGAAAGATAGGAGACAGCTTGGTAGGAATTAAAATGTCAATTTATGAACTTTTGAGACTTCAATGAACATGAATTAGTCTTGTATTCACCTTATTGTCTACATCTTTGTTTCAAGCATACATCTTTGAGATTTTGACCCCTTTTTCCTACTGCTGTGAATGTTTTCAGGCGGAGTGAGCTGTTTCTGCATGATGATGATGATGATGATGATGATGATGAATTAGATCTACAATATCTTCCTAAAGCTGCTAACTACAGGAGTCGTGAAGGAAAAAAACATGGTGCATGCTTCTTCACAGATCAACTAATGCTGATCAACCATGAACAAAGGAAAAGAAAGGAAAACTATGACCAAAAAGAAGCCTTCATCACATGGATATGGGTCCAATTCATTCGTTAGAGCTTCTTTTTCTCCCAGGTTTTGCCAGAGCAGTACACTGGCTTCAATTTGGTGTTTGATCAGTTCTCACAATTTTTGCCTCAACCATTTCCTTTCCAAATTGCTAGACAAAGCCAAATCCCACCCCCCCCTGTTTTGGACACTGTGCTTATAAGTGGAACAGCAGTTCACAGATCAAAGGAAAGGGGTGCACTGGAAACTGCAATCCAACAAGCTCAGAACCTGAGGCCATGGAGTGATTGATGCGGCAACTCCAGTTCGATACAGTTGTACCCAAGGCTGGTTGTGGATGCAAAACCAGTAGAGGATTGTATGATTGGGGTGGTCAAAGGACCTCATCATTCTCATTGGTGATGCAAAGGCCTTTTAGCAGAGACCTCTCTGCTTTTTCTTCTTTGTTGAGGAAGAAATATGACTCACGAGTTCTACAAAGATTAAGGCAAAATTAAATGTTAATGAATACTAATGTTATTGATTGCATTTACATATATACTCTTCATTTCTCCAGCATATTTTGTTTCTTGGTTTCTTCTTCTTCCTCCTCCTGTCCCTCTCTCTCTCTCTCTTTGCCTCTCTTGTCCTGTTTCTGCCAACCTCTTATAAATAGATGCAGGAGGTTCGTTAACCCTCCCTACTTCCACCACCTTTTCTCCTTCACTCTCTTAGGCTCAGAAGGAAACTAGTAAGACACTGTTCTCCTATATGGTCATATAATTCACAGGGTAAAGAGGGACAGGGTTGAAGACATCCACACAGAGAGAGAGAGAGAGAGAGAGAGAGAGAGAGAGAGAGTGGGGTGTGTGTGTGTGTGTTGGTTTCGAGGAGCAGAAAAGAAGAACAGGAGAGAGGGAGAGGGAGGATGGGGAGACGGGAATATGGAGGAGGGGGGAACGCGATGGCGGCGGCGGCGGCAGCAACAGGGTTGCCCGGGTGGCTGGGCCGGCTGGTGGAGGAGAGCTTCTTCGTGGGGTGCGGGACCCATGAGAGCCGGAAGAAGAACGAGAAGAACATCTTCTGCCTCGACTGCTGCACCAGCATCTGCACCCACTGCGCGCCAGCCCACTCTTCCCACCCCCTCCTCCAGGTCTGCCCACCCTCCTCCTCCTCTTCCCTTTCTTGCCCCCTTCCCTTCTCCCTCTCCTCTTCCAACCTAACTCTTCCTCGTGCCTTCCCATTCTTACTACAAATACCAGTTGCAGTAGTAGTTTCAGTGACAACAGAGGAGATTACTCCTCTTTGTTTCAGTGCTATATGTTCTTCAACTGCATGAATTTATATCTCCTTAAATAATCATATACTAATTTTCCCAAGAATTCCCTGAGGACTAATGATAGTTGTATTGATTGCCATGGTGGATTCTCCAATTGGACTAGGATTTACTTTTGCTCTTTTACCAACCATGGTAAATCTTGCTTTGTTGAATTGTTTCCCTTTTTTGCCTATGGTATAGATTTATAAGGTTAATTATCTCATCTTTTCCACTTTAGTTTTTGAGAGCTCTTGAATGTCCTGCTCAGGAAACTGGTCAAAGCATGTATTACCACCTTTGTAGACATTGTTTGAGACTAGAACACATTCCCTGTCCCTGATATAAATCATCCATCTCTCTCATGGGTGATATACTTTTTTTGGGACTGTAAGATCTTGTGAAACCTTGCTAAAAGTTTTGATCTTTCTACTTCAATTCAGTAACAGTTCTCATCTTGCCCACCATGAATTATCCTTGCTGAACTCTGATGTCTTTGATGCTCAACCTATCTTTCTACTTTCTCTTCATCTCTTTTCCCTCTTAGTCTACTCTCGATTCAGTGGCTGCTGCTGAATTGCCTCTGCTTCTCTTCCTCCAAGGTGAAGAAGAAGACCATCAAAGTTTCACCAATCATCCTTCTCAGGATGACAAGTTCACCATTTTGCCCTCTAGTACAGGCACACTTTCTTCATGCTGTGCTGTCTCGGGAAGGACATAGTTGTCAATAGGTGTCTTCCCGGTGATGGATTTTGATGTTTCTGTGACAACGTAGGTGAGGAGGTACGTGTACAACGATGTGGTTCGATTGGATGATCTTGAGAAGCTTATAGACTGTTCCTATGTTCAGGTATCTACTAAGCTTCGGGTTTGATTTCAATTGCATGTGAGGTGTGTTCTGAGACTGTTCTCTGCTTTCATGGTTCTCTGTGGTGACAGCCATACACCATTAACAGTGCCAAGGTGGTCTTCCTGAAGCCAAGACCTCAATCAAGGCCCTTCAAGGGCTCTGGGAACATCTGCCTGACCTGTGACAGGATCCTTCAGGAGCCCTTCCACTTCTGCTCCCTGTCCTGCAAGGTTGACTCTGTTCATCTAATTGCCTGCTTAGATTAAGCTGTAGGAAGCATCACAAGGAAAGGAAATGGATGGTGATGCAGGTGGATCATGTTCTGCTACAAGGTGAGGACCTGTCGAGCATACTGTTCAGGTTCAACGAGTCAGACTTCGCCTTCTCCACCTTCGAGAATCTGCGGATGGACAGCTCCGATCTGATCGACGACGACGGCCAGGTGACCACCCCGAGCTCGATCCTGGAAGACCCGGTGCAGTACCACGGCTGCTCGGCCTCGAGCAACTCGGGCAAGCAGGGGGGCGGCTCCGAGGCGCCCAAGAAGAAGAAGAAGGGCGGCGGCTTCTTCCCTCAGATCGTCCTCTCCCTGAGCAACAGGAGGAAGGGAGCTCCCCACCGATCTCCCCTCTCCTAATGTTCGCCGTCGCAACCAACCTCTTTCCTAATCCGTGCTGCTTATAGTTCTGGTGTCCGTAGCTGCTCCGCGGAGGGAGCTCCTGAGCATTTCCATTGCTGAGTAGGTGAGCAGAGTGTGGATGAGGTTTCAGGCCTCACTGTGTTCGCCAATTTTGTTTGATGTGGTGGGAATGCATACTTCTATATCTGCTACCTTCATATATATTATATATATGTCGAGCCTGTGCTTTGTCTCTATCTACGCTGCTCTGCTCCTCGTCGTCTTTGACCCACCGATCGCTGGGGCTATGCATAAGTGGAAATATTATATGCAGTGGATGGCTTCGTGCTTTAGCTTCTTGTGGGGGATAGCTGTGAGATCTCTGTTCTCCACTGTGGGCTTCTTCTGCAGGCAGAGAAGCCATTGCATGCTGCTGCTGCTGCTTTCCCATATCACCTGGATGGATGCGATCTCCCTGACCGTGACCAGCTTTTTGTTCTTTGGGTTCTCTGGTGTTGCATTGGCCATGTTTGGCTTGCTTAATTAATCCTCCTCCTCCTCCTCCTCCTCTGTACTTAAATTGAAGCTGTTGCTCAGATCTCAACTTCTGCAGCTCGGCGGCAGAAATCTTGGACAGAAGTAGTGCAAGAACAGTACCTGATCGGTGCCCCCAGAATGGAGTGGTCTCATATGAGCTCAGTGTGTCGAAAAGGTAGAGCAAAGCCTGGAAGCACAAAAAGAGGGATGAGGATGATACTACTCATCTGAACAAGCCAACACCATTAACGTATATGGCAGCATTCGTCTCTGCAGTATGATTACAGTAAGCAGATCCGACTCCACAACAAAAACGAATGAGGACAGGAGGAGTATATCAAAGTCTATTGCTCTGTCCCTTGTCCTGCTGTTCTTCCCCATCATAAATAATTGCACCACGTGAAGGTCTACCTATACGAGGTGAGAGAGAGAGAGAGAGAGAGAGAGAGAGAGAGAGAGGAGCAATTAATTCTTCGCCGGGAAGAGAGCCGTTGGCGCTGGCATTTACTGGGGGGGCCAATTGACCGAAACACAACAACATTCCCAGTCCCGAAACCCTACACGGCGAGTGAAGCCGCAGCTGTCGGTGAAGGCAACGCCAAGGAGTCTCCACCAACACGACAATGCTCCGAGCTAAACTATTGCTGAACAGGCTCGCCTCTCAAACTCCACCGTTCCGATTCACGTACCACAACACAGACCGATGCATTCTTGCAATGGCTAAACAATTAATTGCCCATGCACTGTAAGGAACAAAAGGAATGTGAAAAAGGATGCAGTCAAGTCTTGTTTCTTCTTCTTCCTCCGTGATGCCGGCGTTGGATACCGAGGAGTTGATGTGAATTAGCAGTGGAAAGTGACATGTCGTTTGAGATTCTAGGACAAGTAAGTGAGATAAATATCGATC